TATCTTGAACATGTGAATTGAGATACCTGTCTAACACAAGCTTCATATAAGTAAGCTATAATGGTAGTCATTTTGAAATTAATACTGTACTATATTTCTGTATAGACAGTGACACTTTGATATTCATCATCAAATTAATACTATGTTACATTTCTATATAGAATATGTGACACTTTGATATTCATCATCAAATTAATACTATGTTACATTTCTATGTAGAATATGTGACACTTTGATATTCATCATCAAATTAATACTATGTTACATTTCTATATAGAATATGTGACACTTTGATATTCATCATCAAATTAATACTATGTTACATTTCTATGTAGAATATGTGACACTTTGATATTCATCATCAAATTAATACTATGTTACATTTCTATGTAGAATATGTGACACTTTGATATTCATCATCAAATTAATACTATGTTACATTTCTATATAGAATATGTGACACTTTGATATTCATCATCAAATTAATACTATGTTACATTTCTATGTAGAATATGTGACACTTTGATATTCATCATCAAATTAATACTATGTTACATTTCTATATAGAATATGTGACACTTTGATATTCATCATCAAATTAATACTATGTTACATTTCTATATAGAATATGTGACACTTTGATATTCATCATCAAATTAATGCTACATTTCTTTATAGATTGTGTTGCCATCATATTAATGCTTTACAATTCCCTCCAATTTATTGTATAAATATTGATTTTCATTAAGACAAGAGACATGGGTGTATATATATATATATATATATATATATATATATATATATATATATATATATATATATATATATATATATATATATATATATATATATATATATTAAATATATATGGTAGTTATAGTTTAAAGGATTTTAATCGGTCAGATATGGTAATGTTAGAAACAAATTCTACATAGTTCATACATCTGATACTGGTAAAGATTCTGACTCGTAGGACTTGGAGTCTATATTTGTCATCACTTTAAAAGCAAGAATTCTGTAGTTTTGATACAGTATTGCCCAGGTGTAAAACTACCGATCTGTTCTGTGTAAAGGGCAGTCGTCTGTGGCCTATCTAGGGTGAACATTACAAATTGGTTAAGAATCGGCTTTATATTGGATGTTATTGTTTGCAGGTTTTGTACTTTATATTGGATGTTATTGTTTGCAACTTTTGTATGATGTAACACTGTGACACCTTGTTATTCATCATCAAATTAACGCTATAATACACTTTTAAATAGACTGCAACACTTCAGGCTTTTATTGTGAACCACAACCTTCAATTAGCTGTTATGCATCATTCTTGATGCCACTAAAAAAGTTAGACTTTTACTTTTAAATGCATTTTTGAAGCCGCAGGAAAAGTTTCTGTATCAATCTGATTATCTCCCCATGCCATTTGATAGTATCTCCAGAGCACTAAATGCATTTAAACACACACACGCACGCGCGCGCACACGCACACACACACACACACAAATTAACCACAAAATATCATTAGTTTCAAAATGTAACTAAAACGAGTTTTAAAATGTAACTAAGACGTCATTTACGCAATGTATTACAATGTATTATATAAATCACCTCCAATAATTTATATCTTTAGTTGCAAACGGTCAATTAAATCTTCTCCAGTTATATTGCACCATACACGTGACTCTTTCATTAGTCTACCAGCTCCAGAATGTGGGAATTTGATTTGATTACGTACAGACCGATAATGAGTTCATCTGCTCTATTATCCTTGTAACCACTGAGAGCAGATCGCACATCTTTTTTTAAGACGTCTTAGAATCATGGATTATCGCAGAGGTTATCAGGCGCCATGAAATTCAAAACAACGGAATTTCATCTGCAAATCCCTTTACCATAAAGCTATATCTGTGTGTCATTCGTAATGTTGTTAACCCATTATGTTTACAGCTTCGGTGCATGTCATCATCTAACCTAATGAATTTATTTCAGTTTTGCAAACTTTTAGTCAGGCTCTAAATTTATCAAACCTACCAAGAAAAGAGTATAATTTTGACCTAGCTTCTAAACATTAAAAAAAATTTCATCAAAACGTAAGCTTTATTTTTTGAACGAATAGATGTAGGTTATTTAGATTCGAAGAGTTATAATTATATATTTTCAAGATCCGACATCTTACATTTTTGAGATCCCATATTTGGAGATTTCTTGAACGTTTTCGTATTTCAAAGAACTGATATTAGAAATTTTCGAGACATTCCATCTTTAAAAAAAAAGTTTATATTAAGGTTGAAAATTATACGAATTCAAGGGCAGGTAGTGTTCATCCTATTTCTAAAATAGAAATCTCTACTGTGAACTTAAAAATGTACAAACAGCGATGTAAACTTTTACCAAAGAATTTGGAGCTTTTGCTTTGGAGCATCTCGATGCTCATTATTCAGGTACAAATTAAGTGTTGGGGAATGTTGTCATTTTATAAAAAGGAACTTACCATTCTAAAAGAGGTTTCAACATTGTCAACGAAAAACAATTATTGTCCTTTCTTTCAGCAATAATCCATTTTATTAAATATAAAGACAGAGGGAAACTTTATAAGTCCTTCGAGCACATATTTTATTTGTATTGTGTGCCTATTTTTTGCCCGTTTTTATTGCAGCTGCTTGAATTATTTTGTATTTTTGTAAAACGCTTCCCAGTTATCAATTCATGTTCATTTTATATAACAGTTTCGCTTTTGTTTTGCATAATATTCAATTCTGACAAATTATTTTATAAAACAAGGAGTTACATTCGTATTCATGACTTGGAAATATAGTTTTGTTTCCCTGAGAATTTGCTTCATTCAACCGTGTATATTTTGCCACATAAGATGTGTGTCCGTTCTTCCTCTTCCTTTTGTGCACTGCAGCTTCTCTTATAACATTACTTGTCTTTATTTTTCGTTTGGACCAACGGCTGTGATTTGAGTGTCACACGTGACAACTTCATTGTCTGTGAGTCATAAAAATGGTGATTTACTGACACTCGTTTGATAAACCACTGAAGTCGCCCATGTTTAATTAATAACTTGACAGTTGTAGATGATTGCTCCATTGAGACCAGCCCCTTCTCAGTAGCACAGATGTTATTCTCTTATTGGATTGTATTCTCAATGTGGATATCTGATCGCATTACTGTTGCTGTCAGTCTTTTCTTTGAATTTCATATATTAGTCAATATAATATAGTGTAGGCAACATAATAAACCATTGTATTGAGTTAATTTTGTAAGAGAATATAAGTAAGCAAACTGAATGTTGGTTCCTAATTCATTCCAGTATGTTTAGTATAGGAACGGCCTTTTTGGGGTTCGTAAAGGTTTCCAATATTATGATTTTGTAAAGGTTATTGCCGCTGTGTACATTCTACGGTCTAAAACATGGCAGAATTTACAATTGTTTGTAACTTACCAGGTTTATAAGAAATAGTGATTATGGGTAAGGAAATAACGATATAAAGTGTTTAGATACAAAACAGCGTTGTTTTTCCTCTTTTTAGGAAATTAAAGGATGGGTAATATCAGACAGATATAATTACAATTATTCACACTTGTAATCTATGCATGAATCATTCATACGTTTCAACTACGCATGAATAATTGATAACATCTTAAAAAATTCCGAAACTGCTAGTGGAATAATTCACAACATTATTTATAGATTTGTCAGAACTGGTTTGATAATTACTAGAAGCATGTTTGAATTTGTTTTCTTCAAATTGTAACAAATTCGGCTAGCTGAATATAACAGTTTAAATAGACTAAACACTAGTAAATATTAATACAATGTCATAGTGCTTACTTTTTTTGTGCGCATGTTTTGCTGAAACGACTTTTATACAAGTCTATCCATTCACTGTTTAAGAATGTAAATTGTATTCAAATTGAAGAATTATACTGATTATTTATTGTTTTAGGCCGTCTAGAATGAAAGTTTCGCCTTCTTGAATATCGTGTGCATGGGTTTCATTTGTGTAAGTATCTATGTATCTATTTTTCTCTATTATATGCTTGGCAATAATAGAAAGCTATTAGGACAAAATAATAATAATAATAATAATAATAATAATAATAATAATAATAATAATAATAATAATAATAATAATTATTATTATTATTATTATTATTATTATTATTATTATTATTATTATTATTATTATTATTATTATTGTCATTGTTATTGTTATTGTTATAGCATTTCTTTTGAGTCAACGAGTAATTAATGAAGAACATGGACAATTCAGACTTCCATCGATCAGGAACGTTTCTCTGTCTACTCTTTAGATTTTTTCAACGCAATACTTAGTACTTGAGTATATACCATTTTTGCTTTTCTCACGAGAAATGCATTTGTTTTGTTCGTAAAAGGATCTCACTCACGAAGAGCTACAAAATGCTTGATAACTGGCATTTTTGGGTAATGACATCATCGACCTCCTGCCCGTTTCCACATGCATCAGAAATGAAGTTACAAGACTGATGGTACAAGTGTGTGCAATTAGCTTTGTTAAAGTGGAGACATATTACCAATTAGCCGCTTAAGCCCTTCACAAAGATTCTTAAATAATCCTCCAAAGAACTATTTATTTTGAAGGGTAAAAGTTGCTAAGTGACTCACATCAAATATATGTGTGTGAGAAGAGGTGGGGGGCCAAGGGAGGGTAACGATTATTATATTTCATACAATTCATTCTTTTTAACGATTTATAGTATGTCAACAATTCGCCTAAGGTCAGTCTATAACCATCAATCCATTATGAATGCAGTGCTGGTTCTACTATGCTATTTTATTCAGTTCTTGTCTGTACAAAACTCATAAATCATATACAGTAAAATCACTTATTTATACACATGTATTCCAAATATGTGAAAAATGGCCACAAAAGAGGATCATCTAGCTGTGGTCTTTGGAACAGCTAGTCTCTATGTACGCGTACATGTCAATGTATATATACTTAACGTGTAACCACTCTGGTGGCCTAGTGATTAGAGCGTCCGCCTCGGATGCGGGAGGTCGTGGATTCGATCCCCTGTCGAGTCATATCAAGGGCTTACAAAAATGGTACTTACATCTGCCTCGCTTGACGCTCAGCATTCGTGTTAGGACTGGTCGGCCTGGTCTCAGGATAATGTGACTGGGTGAGACATCACGCTATATGTCTGCGGTATGATGCCCCATTGCTAAACATCACTATAAACTGCCACACTGCACACGTCGTTGCGATGTGACTGAAAAATTGTTAAGGCTACGTTAAAAATCATAAACATCACACACTTAATGTGTAAATATGGAATTCGGTCTTGATGCAGGTGAACCATATGCACAGTCGGTCGGCATAAATGGTTGGACAATACATGCAACTGAGAACGAAACAAGACGTTATTCAATGTATTAATTGCAATTAAAACATGATAAAACATGATTTTACAAAAATTGAACACCACTTTTGGCACTTTTTATTTGTTGCTATTTCATGCTCATAAGATGGGAGCTACCTACTTTTACCAAGAACACTGAAGAATTCTACCCCGGATGGGTTGGCCTGGTGTTGAACCCGTTACTCTGATTCCGATATTGTCCTAAATGAGCATCAGCGGCTACCAAAACATGAAAATAAAATTTAAAAATAGCAACAAAACAGATAAACACAAAATACTGAATACAAAATGTATTTTAAAAAATGACGCATAACGCCAGTTGTTTCTGCATTTCGTATTCTTTACAATAATTGTTAATTTTTACAGATCCAAATATGTGACTTGAAAGTAAGACCAAATGTGACTGATGTTGGTACTGTATCGTGTGTTGTACAGCTAGAGTATTAATTTGTTTCATATAAACAAATGGTATCACATATCTAAACTAGGCTCCATAATTAGCAACGATCACACCTAAAGGAGGCTGGACAATTAACAACGTGCTTATATCGAAATAAATAAGTGCAAATAACTTTACTAAACGTCCAGTAAATGTTTCAGAATATTATCATAGCATCATTTTTAGGATGTATAATATATATTACTGTCAATAAAACAGCACTTTTAAAATACACACACACACACACACACACACACACACACACACACACACACACACAATGAACCAAGACTAAATTTGTCAAATAATATGAATCCACACATGTCGCTGTGACCTACTATCACATCATGATATACACATATAAAAGACAAAAACCTCCGCTGACGCAGTTAAATCATATTCATTTCGTATTAAACTTGCTTTAAAAAATATGCATATACATATAATGACATCATAGTTTTAGTTATGTGTTGCAGTAATGCGACAATGAGCCTCTTTCTTTACATTCTGTAGGTTTGATATGTTTGTAACATGTAATTTTTTGGAACTTTTTTCTCAATTTTCAAAGTTAAGTATCAGATGTTTTACGCTTACCAAATGGACAAAACTCAATCTCAACGGATGTGAGTGAAGTTTCTGTAACTAGAAAAGCATTTTATTTTCATCAAAAAACATCGCTTTCAATCAACAAATTGCTGATTTTGATAAGTGTCTTTGGCGAGTAGGCGAAAAAGCTCTTAAAAAACTATTTAACAAAGCTGGAATGAATCCAATGCTGCTGGAATATCATAGTAGACACTATACTCTCAAAGATTAACAAATTATATAGCGCACTTTCAATGGCATGTGTGGTTCATAAGATACAAATTAAACCAGGTTTCCATCAAGCCCAGTTCGGTAATTTTTACTAAATTTGTATCAAAGAATTCTGACACAAAGAAGTGGGCAGAATGGAACCAAGTGAAGACTGCTGACTAATCCCTTTGGAAGCTGCGGTCCTGGGGGTCGAACTGAATCACTCACGGTTGTCCTCTCATGTAATTTTCCTTTGTTTACTTGGGGCCAAGAACCCTATCACCAAATTGACAGAGAATTACTGACGTTTCAGGATCACCTTCTATCTCTAAAATTTGCTTTAACAATTAAAATGCCAACTACAAATAATAATTCACACACTTGTGACGTTAACTTCAAATAACCTCAAATACTTTTGACGTAGATTGCAAACAAATCAAATACTGCTGACGTATAATACGAACAAATCAAATACTTTTTATGTAGACTCCAACTATTTATCTGATCAAGGTACAATTTACAGAGGTCAGTGTCTGGTGACATACATACAAGATATTTATTCAAATCCGTAAAATTAGTAATGAACTATATGTTTCTGCATCTCTTTCATTAGGGGGGAACGATGAGTGACATTTTGTTTCGGTAAAATCTCCTTGATTATCAGAGATGAAAGGCGGACGGAAGGAAATGGATTGGAACAATGAGTTAGAGACTTTCAGTCTTTCATACTCTCTTAAATAATTACATATATCGTTATCATAGCTAATATAGTCATGAGATATCTGTAGCAATCCTTGTTCGCTTTACTCTACAAAACTACCCCATGTCAGAACCAGAGTCCGCATTTGTTCAAATAAGAATAGGTACTAGACACTGAAGGTGTTAATAAATCAAATATAACCACAAGAGTCAATAAACGGAGCGCGATTCTTTCATCCTTTTTACATATATGCATGTCACCGCTCCGATGGCTTAAGCGGTTAGAACGTCCGTCTCGGATGCGGAAGGTCGCGGGTTGGAACCCTGGCAGTCATACCAAAGACTTATAAAATGGTACACGCATACTTATCTACTTTTGTTTGAAAACACACATAAGGTAGACATTGGATCAAGAGAATATCATGATCCGCGTTTTATTCTTTTCTTTCAATTTTATTCTTTTCTTTACCTCTTCTATAATCAAATAATAAATTCTTTGAAAAATTCCACTTCTTTACTTATGTCTTTTGTAATTCTACAGATTTGCAACCAAACTTCCTCTAAATGCAACACACAAAACAGTTCTGAAGTAATGTTCAAAATAATTCCTCAAAAAATTTTAACAACGGAAATGTTCCTAGGGATGTCAAGACAGCAAACTAATATTTAAACAGTTATTATCAATAAAAGTTATTACAAACAGAGTTATATAATCTTCTTGCTTTTGTGTGTACAAGTGTTCTTGAATCATTTGGATGTTAATCCAAGTTAATTTTTAAACAAATATAAAAATTTAAATTGTTCAAGATCCTCTTCTAGAATCGAAATCTAGGATTTTTATGGTGCTTTCCACTTCATCTCTTTTAGAATGTAAGTGATATTTATTTGAATTGAAGTGAAATTTGTTTGACTTGAAGTGAGATTTAAGTGAATTGAAGTGAGATTTGCAATTCCGACTGATTATTAGCGATTCTGTTGTTTCTCTAACAACTGGGTTCAGTTAATCATCATTAACGCTTTCAAGAAAATTTAAAATTGTACGTTCTATATATCTATCTATCTATCTATCTATCTATCTATCTATCTATCTATCTATCTATCTATCTATCTATCTATCTATCTGCGTAATGGATCTGCAGTACGCGACCTTTTCTCATCATTTAATCGTTATATTTCTTCATGCTCAAAGTATTAATTAAGAAAAACAATGGTGCATTTTCTGCAATTCGTAGTTCATGCTTGGCATGTTTCGCTATATGCAGCGTATAATCCATTTTTGCTCTATATTGTTCCTGGTCTGTGAGAAATTCATTGTCCATCGCAGCAGCGATTGACCGAGGCCCCACATCACGTGATCTTTCGATTAAAAAAAAAAATATTAACCCGGTGAGTAACACCGATGACGAATCAACACGCGCATGCCCATATATATGGTTATATATGGCAAACGGAAGAGGTGCGATTGAAGAATGCGCGCTCTGGGAAAAAGATTCCAAAAGCTTAAATGTGAAACCATTTTAGAAAAGTAATCAACAAAAAGGGAGATACAATGTAGAGAAAAAGTAATTGTGCAACAACGTTAAAAATCTGATAAGTTTTCATGTTTGCAATTTATTATGATAAAATGGAAAACAGTACACTAGCACATGTGTAAGACTTTTATGCCCATCACAAGTCATCTTAATCATATTCCAAGGTTTGAAGTCATTTTCGAAGAACACGAAAGCACAATAAGAATTGCGCAACATTTCAAATATAGGCCGACGCACTCACATAGTTGCGTAAGAATACACAATCTTAGTCGAAATTATCAATAAAAAAAAATCATGGAATGAGCTATATTCGTAATATGGTAAAATCAATTTGTATGCACAATATTGTTAGCAACATATATTGAGGCTCTTTTCTTTATGACGATTTCCTTTGTTGGGGTGTTGGGGTCTTGCATAGCAGTGCAAGCATTTAGAATTGGGCGACTCAGTACGGTTACTTACGTTGAATAATGTAAACGTGCGAAGTCAACCAAAACATACTGAAATACGAGAAAAGGATCCAATTTTTCACAATATGATGTAGTATTGTTTCGGGTGCGTACAAATTATTACTTTGAAAGAAATCATGCCCCCAGATAATCTTCAGTGATATCGGAAATTTCTTTTTATGTATAATTTAATACGGTCATAGTTATTCATCATCGGTTAAACTTCCAAGCGTGGAAGCATCCCACTGTCCTAATATTGTCTTCCGTTTTAACGTGCAAATGGAATGAAATTATTTTTTTTTAATTTAGACTCTGTAGTACTTTATCATATAAATAATCAAAGAATAGCGCAATAAAAATTGATTATAGGTCCCATTCAACAGCGGTAATTATGCCTAATTGAGATATATCGACCGCATCCGCTATACCGCTCACATAGGTGGCCAAGCGATTTGAATATGGATCGCTTTGTTTATCTCCCCCCGCCTTCCCAATATATAGTGGTTACAAACCCTTCCATATAAAATATTTCTGCCCCATCTCTTGTATCCATGACAACGTTCTAAGCACAAATATGTTGACAAGCACTAAAATTGCGAACACAGACTCATGGCGTTTGAAGTCAATATGGTAAGACAGTTTAAGAACCGATCTGTACACAGTTGTAATTGCTGAAAATTGCATACTGTATGTTTATGTCCGTCGAAATGATTCGAAGTCAGCAAAGACAGATTATATGCCTAAAGTATGCTCATATATCATCCGAGGATAAAGAAAAGGCGAAGAATACTACTTTCCAAGCTAAATCTTTTATAGTTTGATGAATCCATTTTCCTTGATATCCCATACTTAAACAATGGTAGCTAGCATGACTGTGGACATTTTGCTTCAGTGTTTGTAAATGGACTATCACTGTCTTCCACATGATCATGTAAGAAAATTCTTGTTTCAGAGAATACACATGATTATAGCGAATAATTATTTCACTTATAATGTAAGCCACAGACTTTACATTCTCTTGTTTATTGACAAAAGTCGCGGTCTGTAAACTGGAAGACTTTTTATGACAGACAAGTTTTACCTCAAAATGGTGTATACAGATAAAATTGTTTACTCTTTTGCATCTGGATATGGTCTTCGTTAAGGACATGCCACCGTTCTCATGAATTGACCAGACAGTTTCAATAATACGTACACTCTGTCATAGGCCAATACATTCTGTGCAGTAACTTTTAATTTACCGCAAGCATGTTAAATTATGTCTAGGATACATGCCAATACAGACCATGCTAAATTATGTTTAGGATACTTACCAATACAGACATTGTTGAATTATGTATAGGATACATACCAATGCAGACGATGTTAAATTATGTCTAGGATACATGCAAATACAGACCATCCTAAATTATGTCTAGGATATATATCAATACGGACCATGTTAAATTATATCTAGGATACATACCAATACAGACCATGTTAAATTATGTCTAGGATATATACCAATGCAGACGATGTTAAATTATGTCTAGGATACATGCAAATACAAACCATGTTAAATTATGCCTAGGATATATACCAATACATAAAATGTTAAATTATGTCTAAGATATACACCAATACAGACCATCCTAAATTATGTCCAGGACACATACCAATAAATACCATGTTCAAATATGTTCAGGATACATACCAATACAGATGATGTTTAATTATGTCTAGAATACATACCAATACAGATCATGTTAAATTATGAGCTGGATACATGTCAGTACAGAACATGTTAAATTATGTCTAAGATACATTCCAATACAGACCATGTTAAATTATGTTTAGAATACATACCAATATAGACCATATCAAATTATGTCAAGGATTCATACCAATATAGACCATGTTACAGTATGTCTAGAATACATGCCAATACAGACCATGTTAAATTATGTTTAGGATACATATCAATACAGACGAAGTCACGTACTTCTCAAATAGTAGACAGATAAAGACTGCATAAAACTATAAGACCAAAATATTGCATGACCTAAATCGCATTGATCGTTTAAGATATTTTACCAGTGCATTCACATCTGAGTCCCCCTAAAACGCGAGGGAACACAGGATACGTTTCAAAAGAACGGCGAATGTGCCAGGATATTAATTTTAAAATATTAAATACTTCATATATATATATATATATATATATATATATATATATATATATATATATATATATATATATATATATATAACATTGTTATCTTCAGACTTCAGTTTAAGCTCGCTCATTCGCTCATGCTGCATTTATTTTATTTTTTTTAAAAATATCTTTCCTTATTCCCGTCCTAGGACGAGCATTTAATCTAGTTGTATATTTTTCGCACTCTCATATTTTCAAGTTTAAGAGGTCTTTCACATCCAGTGGTAACGTGGTGATAATATTTTTTGTGCACACTATCACTGATGCGCGAAATAAGCCCACCATGCGTTAAAATGTGGTTACAGTTCCTACTACCCCCTGGTAGGAAATGATGAATGGACCTTACTTAACGATCATCTTATGCCTTGAGGTGAGGTAAAAGAGCAATGCTCTCAAATTATACGATTCGGTAAAATGAACTTGATTGTTGTACGTGGGGGTATGAGTAACTTGATGCATTTAAATGTCCTTTTTTCTGACTGTAATGAGACAAATTTTTAGGTCGTTCATTGTTTTGTTATTGTTAATTGTGGTAGAGCACATTTCATTGATTTATGGGGAATGGACATTTACAGAGCCACAATGTTTATCCAAAGTCAGGAGATATCGATATATAATTAAGGACTGAGTTTGTTTAAACTGACGAGAAAGGAGTCAAATTCTGATAGGTATGGAAAACTATCATGTCTGAAAGTTACTAGAGATCAATTGGACAATCGAGGTTTGCCATACGAACTACATTGTTTCAGCATTGTTCGAACTGGAAGTGATTTCATTCCGATTGGTTACACTGTAAAGGGGGCGTGGTTTCACACGGAAAACTCTTAAATTTACAACTAGAAAACTTAAAAATTATTCTACACTTTTCCTACGTGAGGAAAGTACAAAGGAAGGCTCCGAACTGAATTTAGAAGAAATTCGCTCCTAGAAAATCATCCAGGTTAAGGAATTGTCTGGGAAAATTGACAGACACGTTCTGGAAGTAAGAACTTGGATAAACAAGATAGTTGCAACACTCTTATGTAATTCATTGATATTAATATGATGATTTGCAGGATTTATTTCAATGTATTTGCGTGAATTTATTTGTTAAGTTTGTAGATTTAATTTCTTGATATGGTATACGTGTGTTGAGTTTGTTTATCAGAGTCCGTAC